GGATTGGTCCCCAACCCTGGTTGGGGTCGTGCAGGAGGCAATCAATTGATGTGTCTCTCTCTCATTGATGTCATACCTTTTTTTAAAATTTTTTTTCTTTCTTTATTGATTTTAGAGAGAGAGGAAAATATTGATGAGCGAGAATAATGGATTGGCCTCCTCCTACATACCTCTCACCGGGGATCAGGCCCACAACCTGGGCATGTACCGACCGGGAATCGAACTGGCGACCTCTTGGTGCATGGGTGGATGCTCAATCACTGAGCCACACCAGCTGGGCACATCGATGTCTTTCTATCTCTCTCTCTCTCTTTCTGCTTCCCTCCTACTATATGTAAAGATAAATGGAAAAATATCCTTGGGTGAGGATTTAAAGAAAACAATGAATATTAATGAAAAATAATTTTAAATATGGAAAATTTATTAAACCAAAATCTAATTATTTTTAGATTAATAAAATTGATAAACCTGAGCCAGGCCAAAGACATGAATAAATATTGAATAAGCCTTTGAAAGGATATTTAACATGATTAATAGGGAAAACCACAGTGAAACAGTTATCACACAGTCATTTCAATGGCTACAGTTAAAAACAACCCACCACAATTGATAAGGATGTAATTCACTGGAATTCCTCAACAGTGTTCTTTGGGAGAACTTTGGAAATTTCTTAAAAGTTAGACATGCACATCCTAGATTGGTGGCTCAGTTGGTTGGAGCGTCATCCCAATACACCAAGGTTATGGGTTCAATCCCAGGTCAGGGCACGTACAAGAACCAACCAATGAATGCATAAGTAAGTGGAACAACAAATTGATGTTTCTTTCTCTCTTTCCTCCTCTCTCTCTAACGTCAATAAACATATCCTCGGGTGAGAATAAAATTTTTTTTTAAAGTTAGATATGCATCTACCACACACCAAGCGTTGTCCATAAATGTCTGTAGTAGTTCTTCTTTTTTCTTTTATCCTTTCCTGAGGATATGTTATTATTGATTCTAGAGAGGGAGAGAGAGAGAAACATTAATCAGTTGCCTCCAGCACGTGCCCCGACGAGGAATCAAACCCACAACCTTTTTGGTGTACAGGATGATGCTCCAACCAACTGAGCCACCTGGCCAGGGCAGCAGCTGTTCTTTGTAATAGCCCAAACTGGAAACAACCAGAATGTCTCCAAATGGGATAATGCATAAACAAGTTGTAGCTTACCCACAAGGTACAGTATTACTCTATAGTAAACAAGGAACGCGCCCTGACCGGTTTGCTCAGTGGTTAGAGCGTCGGCCCGCGGACCAGAGACTCATGGGTTCAATTCTGGTCAAGGGCACGTACCTCAGTTGCAGTTTGTCCCCGGCCCTGGTTGGGTCGTGCAGGAGGCAACCAGTCAATGTGGCTCTATCACATTGATGTTTGTCTCTCTTTCCCTCTCTCCCTCCCACTCTATCTGATGATGAATGGAAAAATATCCTCGGGTGAGGAATAAAAGAAAGAAAAAGGCCCTGGCCAGTTTGGCTCAGCGGTTAGAGCGTCGGCCTGCGGTCCGGAGAGACCCGGGTTCGGTTCCCGCTAAGGGCACGTACTTCGGTTGCAGTTTGTCCCCGGCCCTGGTTGGTCGTGCGGGTGGCAGCCACTCGATGTGTCCCTTCACGTCGATGTTTCTGTCTGTCTCTCCCTTCCTCTCCCTCCCTCCCACTCTATCTGTACAAAAAATGGAAAAATATCCTCGGATGAGGATTAAAAAAAAAAACACAAAAAAAAAAAAGAAAGAAAAAGGAACACATTTCTGATACATAAATAAATGGTCACCTCCAAAAGATGATGCTCTGCAAAAGAGGCCAAAAGAAGAAAGAGTTGTTGTGTGGTATAGAGTTCTTTATATAGAGTTCTAGAAATTTCAAATTAATCTTTGGAGACAGAATTCAGCCTAGTGGTCATCTGTGACTGAGGTAGGTTTGGAAGAGAAGGGAGTGAGGAGAAACAGGGTACAAAGGGGCACAAGCAAACTTGGGGTGGGCAGTGGTAGTGTCATTATCTTGAGTTATTGTGAAAGTTTCACAGTTGTATACATGTCAATGTTACTGAAATTGCATGCAGATTTTTAGCTTATTGTGCCTCAGTTCTACTTCTGTACTTTGTAAATTGTTTTTAAAAAGATCAGTGGAGGCCTGGTCAGTGTGGCTCAGTTGGTTGAGGATCATCCCATGCACCAGGAGATCACAGGTTTGATTCCTGGTCAGGGCAGGGCACATGCCCGGGCTGTGGGCTCGATCCCCAGTGGGGGGTGTGCAGGAGGCAGCCAATCCATGTTTCTTTCTCATCAATAATTCTCTCTCTCTCTCTCTCTCTCCCATTCTCTCTCTGAAATCAGTAAAAACATATTTTAAAAAATAGAAATTATTTTTTAAAAAGGATCAATGGAATTTATGTTTGTGCCTCAGTTTCCCACAGTCAGAGTAACCATCTGGTGGGGCACTGGTATTTGGTTAACGTGAATTGTAGTCAGGTGTGCTGTGTGCATGTGTGTTTTGTAGAAACTTGTTACTTGCTTTGTCTGAAAAAGGAGTGGATAGTTGAGTTTCGCCTCCTTGGGAGGACGAGCTTTGTACTTGAGCGTGTCGGTCAGGCATAGAGAAGTTTTGACTTGGACTCAGGAGATTGTCTAGCATCTTTCCATGGGTGATAGTGGCTTGCTCTATTGCTTTCCTGACCACATATGCTGATGATTCCAAATTATATATCCAGTTACATCCCATTCCCTGAGTGTCTCACTCGAAAACAACCCCCTGCATTGTTTGGATGTTTAACACCCACGTCATACGTGCACTGCCCAGAGCAAACCCTGGTTCTTGCCACTGCCCCAGCCTGTTCCCCTGTGTCTAGCATCTCTGTTGTCTGCATGTCCAGTACCTGGGCCTGTCTGTCCTCGGCACATCCTGGGGTCCATGGGCAAGTCCTGTGGTTCTTCCTTCAACACCCCCGAGTCTGACTGCTCTGCTCCTCATGCCTCCCACCTGGGCCTGGAACTATCTGGAACAGTCTTTGTACATTGTTACCTCCTCAGAGTTCAGTTTTCACACAACATAGTTTCTTTTTAAGATGAAAATTGGACTGTACCATCCTCCTCTGAGAAACCTCCCGCCTCTGCTTCCATCCTGCCTCTTGACCTTGCCCACATTTGTGTGCTGCTGCTCAGTTCCCAGTGCTGCCCTCCCAGATCTTCACATGCTGCTTTTTTTAAGATTCATTTAAAAAATTTTTTTTTTTTGCCTGGCTAGTGTGGCTCAGTGGTTGAGCATTGACCCTGCACCAAGAGGTTGCCAGTTCGATTCCCAGTCAGGGCGCATGCCCAGGTTGTGGGCCCGATCCCCAGTGGGGGGCATGCAGGAGGCGGCCATTCGATGTTCTCTCGCATTGATGTTTCTGTCTCTGTCTCCCTCTCCCTTCTCTCTCTAAAATCAGTAAAGAAAGAGAAAAAAAAAGCTGAACTTTGCTCTCATTAGAACCATATCCACCTATGGTCCCACTCTATACTCTCGGCAACTGTGTTTTCTTCCTGGAGACATACTGTCCTTGGACATGAGGGGGTCGTGTCTGTGTTTGTGTGTCTGCTGTTTCTCTGGAACCCGCAGGGCCTCCCTCCTATTCACCGGTGCATCCTGTTGCCAGCCCTCTCAGGATGCCCAGCACAGAGTGGATTGCGTGTATCTGTGCGCGAGGGCTCTTGTCTCGGAGCCCTGCCGCACGCTCAGTCCACACTGCGGAGTTGCCTCTGCTTAACATCTGGTTCCTTAGCAGTCTCGCCAGCTCTCTCGTCAGCCACCTCACTCCTAGGGTGCATATGGCTTCTCCCATTTCCTTGCTTTATTCCTTTGTCCCATCTCATCTCTTCACTGCTCACATCCTGTCACCATGTTAGAACAGGAGACCAGGCCACTCCTGGCTCACTGCTCCCTCCCTGCCCGCTGGCCTCCTGCCCCAGGGCCTTTGTGCTTGCTCTCTGGAATGCCCTTCCTGCAGGTGTGTGTGGCTTCCACCAGTTCACACTTCAGGTGTGTCCAGGTGTCTCCTTGAGGAGGCCCTCATTGGCCACCCTCGGTCCCCAGCCCCAGGCATTCTTTTCTGCTGTGTTTCTCCTCAGTTACCACTATCTGGTGTTCTGTATTTTTTACTTACCAGTCTTATTTATTGTCTTTGATTAGGCTTGTTATATATGTATCTTATTTTTGACACTATTACAGATATTCCCCATTTCCCCCCACCTTTTGCCTACCTCCATCCTGCCCCTTTCACCTTTATGTTAGGCCTGTTTTGTAAACTGGGAGCCTGTTTGTTTAAAACCTAAGTTTACTTTCTCTTAGGGTGGTTAATCTTTGGAGAGGATCTGTGGTAATAATCTTGCATCTTCCTCCTACCTTGGAGGCTTCCGCGTCACCCTCATTCTGTAGTTTAAGGTTTGTTTGAAGAAGTGGACATTGAAATTGGGTAGCTGGAGAGGAATTGAGCTTAATCACTGTCGAGCAGGAAGAGAGGCTGGGTCTTGGGTGTGTGGCCGCCGGCAGGCCCCTGGTATTTAGCTTGGAGAGCCCACCTGGGAGGGTTTGAGCCTGCAGGTGTGCTTCTTTGGGCCTGAGCACATGTGCAGACATACCTGGAGTGGTGGCTTTAAACTTGGTTGACGGTAGAGGGTCCTGGTGCTTTCTCAGTCTGACAGTTGGAACTGACGTTTCGCATATGTGGGGAGTTAATGCAGAAGTCTAGGTGAAGGGTTAGCTGGACAGTTTTCTAACTTCTCCTAAGGTGCTCCTTCTGGCATTACTATTTTATGTGAAGGACGATGAGTTTCTAGAATACAAGATACAGTTTTATTCAACAAATTCCCTATTTGATTTTTTTTCCATAAACACACAAGCACATTGTAATTTTAGAACTACATATAATATTTCTTGATGATCTTGTTTTTGTGGATCATGTTTTGAAAACAGAAAATGTTTTTCTATTCCAGACTCCTTTTAACTTTGGCGTGAATCATAGAACTCCACCCTACCCTGCTGGGGATTACTGTCTTCTGTGCAGAAGTGAGCGGAAAGACTCTTCATTCCTAGAGAGTGGCATCAAGACTGCGAGCAAACTGGCCCTTTCCGTGGCTCCCAAGGGCAACAGCGTGCTGCACCTGCCATTGTGGGTGTGCCCGGACTGCCGGCGGACCGTGGAGAAGGAGGAGAGGCACGGTGGTCTGGATCAGCCAGCGGTGAGTGCCCTGCAGAGCTCACACGCTCCGTGGGTTATGGCGCTTACTGGGCATGAGAGCTTTCTGGGAAGAACTGCCTTCTGTGCCATCTTCTGGTCTCTGCTCCACTTTCACCCACTGGGCCTTCTTCCTGGTCTTCCTTATCCCACCTGCAGGAGGTAGTAGGGAACCTGCCCTCCTTGCTCAGACAGCTTGGTCAGCAAGTGTGTGGGGGCTCCAAGGACATGCTTTTTAGTCTGGTCTTAGGATGTCTTTGACAAAGCAGTTTTCTGAGAAGCTAGAAGGCTTTTCATGTGTTTGGTTTTAGACAATTCTGTGTGCTAGTAACACACCTGAAATTCTTTCCCAGATGCAATTCTCAGGTCCGGGTTTCCCCCTTTTGCCTTGGTTTTATGTCTCAGCTGAATGGAGGGCTTTCCTGAGGCCCAGGCTGACATGGTAAGGCCATACCCTTAACCCAATTTTTGGCACAGATTGTGCCTTAGTGGGCCCTGGCTCTGAAAGGGCTTTCACAGATGATCTTTGAGTTCAAGAAGGAGTTGGCTTTAACAGCCATCTGAGACCCCACAGTCCAGGGCTTCTCTGTTCCTTTTACCTCTTCTCAGAAGCAGCTGTCCTTCTCATACCCATCTTCTGACCTGGGATTGCTTTCCGGGTTGGTCCCCAGGACAGCGTGGCGAGTATTTTGCTGCTGCATGGGGTGAGTCTTCCTGGCCTTCCGTGGTCTCATCGGTCTCCTTGCTGTCTGCCACTGAGCCACTGACTTCTGTTTTGGGGTTTCCTTGAGGGCAGCACCCCAGCTTATGTGGCACTTTCTATAGCAGTGCTTGAATAGCTAACCGGCAAAATAGAAATTGATTCTCATCCAGCTCCTCCTGTGTGCCCCTTTTCCTGCTCTGTTACTTTCAGCACTTCTTTCTTTCTTTCTTTCTTTCTTTCTTTCTTTCTTTCTTTCTTCCTTTCTTCCTTTCTTCCTTTCTTCCTTTCTTCCTTTCTTCCTTTCTTTCCTTTCTTTCCTTTCTTTCCTTTCTTTCCTTTCTTTCCTTTCTTTCCTTTCTTTCCTTTCTTTCCTTTCTTTCCTTTCTTTCCTTTCTTTCCTTTCTTTCCTTCTTTCCTTTCTTTCCTTTCTTTCCTTTCTTCCTTTCTTTCCTTTCTTTCCTTTCTTTCCTTTCTTCTTTCTTTCTTCTTTCTTTCTTTTCTTTCTTTCTTCTTCTTTCTTTCTTTTATATCCTCACCCGAGGACATTTTTCCATATTTTGTTCAGGTAGAGTGGGAGGAAGGGAGGGAGAGAGAAACATCGACGTGAAAGGGACACATCGAGTGGTTGCCACCCACACAACCCAACCAGGGCCAGGGACAAACTGCAACTGAGGTACGTGCCCTAGCAGGAACTGAACCCGGGTCTCTCCAGACTGTAGGCTGACGCTCTAACCACTGAGCAAAACCATCCAGGGCACTTCTTTCTAATACTGCTTATTCACTGTGTTTCTTCTCCACTGGAACATACCCTCTGTGAGGGCAGCTACTTTTGTGTAGTATTTCCTTACCAAGAACAGTGCTGAGCCTGGCATATTTTAGGTGCCCAAAGTATTCTAATGAATACATAAATGAATGAACAAAGAAAGGAATAGATGTGGGATCCCTCATTAGGAATTAGAAGGTGGGTAGGCAGTGTTGAGTTTTTCACCCTCAGATCTTTCTGCTTTTATCATTTTGCTTTTGTTTGCTTTCTGTGTGCACTTCAAGTGTTTGTTCTCCCCCGTTGTTAGTAGAAGGCGTTAAGTACCACGGATGCCAATTTGTTCCTAATCACCGTCAGCGGCATTCTGAAGTCTCACCCTAGCTAAGCCCACTTTGCTGCTTAGACTTCGTCGCCGTTTCTTTCAGTTTCCAGTCCCGCTCCTGTTTGAGCCTGACTGTGCCTTTGGGAGGGGTGCTGCTGTTCTTGGTTTAGGAGGCAGATGGAACCACCTGCAATTTCTCATAACTAGTCCTGCCGTACAGGAGTCTCACTTCCAACTCCCAGGTTGCCCTGGAGAATGGACTCTCTAATGAGGCTTTCTCACCTCATCAAAAAAAGTGACCCCAGGCCCTGGCCAGTTTGGCTCAGTGGTTAGAGCGTCGCCTGCCATCCAGAGAGACCTGGGTTTGGTTCACACTAAGGGCACGTACCTCGGTTGCAGTTTATCCCCGGCCCTGGGTGGGTTGTGCGGGAGGCAGCCACTCGATGTGTCCCTTTCACGTCGTGTTTTTCTCTCTCTCTCTCTCTCTCTCTTCCTCTCTCTCCCTCCCACTCTATCTGAACAAATAATGGAAAAATGTCCTCGGGTGAGGACAAAAAAAGTGACCCTGGGACCACAGAAGCGTCTCATTGGCCTACGTTTATAGACTTAGACCTTCTGTACTTTTGTCAAGTTGGCCTATTTGTTTAAGCTGGTTATAATTGCTAGTCTTTAAAAAAAGAGAGAGAGAGAGATAATTTACACGGGGTAAAATTCACCCTTTTAAAGTGAATCTAGTTCAGTGAGCGACAAACCTAAACAGTTGTGTGACCACCACTACTGCACAAGCTCCCTTGTTCCTCTGTAGGCAGCACCCTCCGCTCGCACCCCCAGCCCTGTAACTGCCGACCTGATTCCGTCCCCAGTCTTTCTTTTTCCAAGTGTCACAGACTCCTGCCACTTGGCGTAGTGCTTCGATTGCTGAACACAGCGTAGAGCTGTACATGCTGTTTCTCGTTCGCCACAGATGGACGTGGGGCTGCTTCCAGTCTTGGACTGTGGCTCTGGCTGCGCTACCACACCCTGAAAGGGAGAGAGCATCTCTCTTTTCCCAATCCCCATAATTCTCTGTCCTGCTCAGCTCAGCTGCTCACCTCCGCACTCGGGGAAGCTCAGAGCTGACCCCAGGCCCTTGCTCACCTCTCACCCCCATGGCTGAGGGGCCCTTATCGCTGGGGCTTTCAGGAGCCCGTCCCTTTTCATCCCCTACATTTCCTTCTTTTTTTCTTTAAAGAGAGGCAAGGGTGGAGAAACTGTGGGAGAGACACATCGATTGGTTGCCTCCTGCACATGCCCCAACTGGGCTGGGGATCGAACCTCAATCCAAGTATGTGCCCTTGACCGGGAATCAAACCTGAGACCGTTTGGTGTGCGGGCTGGTGCTCTAACCACTGCTCACACTGGCCAGGGCTATTGTTTTCCTCTTATGCGTCACAGGTCTTGTCTTCCGTCCTAGTTCAGCCTAGGAGAATGCAAATGTTCTGGAATTGTCCACTTTTTATTTACTTATTTATTTATTTATTTATTTTTATCCTCATCCAAGGACATTTTTTCATTTTTTGTTCAGGTAGAGTGGGAGAGAGAGAGACATCAACATGAAAGGGACACATCGAATGGTTGCCACCCACATGACTCAACCAGGGCCGGGGACAAACTGCAACCAGGTACGTGCCCTTAGCGAGAACCGAACCCGGGTCTCTCTGGACCGCAGGCCAACACTCTAACCGCTGAGCCAAACCGGCCAGGGCTGAAATTGTCCACTTTTTGAAGAATCTGTCCTTGCCCTTGCCCTTCTTCAGCTGCAACCATCTCCTGCTTCCTTCAAGCAATTCATGTCTCTAGGTACATTTTAAACTTCTGCCTTCATTTTTTTTTAATTTTTATTTCTTTTCAAGTTAGTTTTGGTAAATTATATTGTCAGAAATGGCCACAGTTATTGGCATGCAGTTGTGTGCAGACAGTCTCTCTAATTCCTGCCATTTCTGCAGAAGCAGTTGTTTGAACTCATAATTTTGCCTTTTCCTGCTTTCTAACAAGTCTGGCTAGAAGTCTGTAGATTGTGTCTTTTCAAAGAAGAGCTTTTTAATTTTTAAAATATCTGTCCTTTCACTTTGTCTGTTTCCTGAGTTACCGCAGTTCTATACGTGTGTGGTATATATTAGATCAGTGGGACACGCGATAAATGTTGGAAGGTACCCATGAGCACAGTGCATCGCTGTCCCTCCCACCTGTCTCCTTGCCGTCCTCCTTGTCTTCCCAGAGCAGTGGTTCTCAACCTGGGGGTTGAACAACCCTTAATTTTATGGTTGGGGGTCACCACAACATGAGGAACTGTATGAAAGGGTCGCAGCATTAGGAATGTTGCGAACCGCTGTCCCAGAGGCATCCACTATTGCCAGACTCTTGTCTGTTCCTCTGGAGATGTTCTGTTCTGTGTGAAGGTGGTAGTGGCAGACACCTGTCAGTAAATGAGACGTGTTCTTCTAGTGTCTTGTTCTGGGAGAGGGGTGTGTATGCCGCTTGTTAGTGGGGGCTGCTCTCCACTTTCTGGCCTTTTCTGAGGGCTGCTGACAGGTGTCTGGGAGCCTTAGCTTGGGTGCCATCTGCTTTGGGAAGGTGAATTCCTAGCTCATCTCACCTGGAGACCTGTGGGAACTTGAGCCTTGCTTAGGCTGCCTACCTGGGAGAAGGAGGAAGAGAGCCCGTCCCACGTACTGACACCAGAAGGCCTGCAGGAGCCACTGGGCCTTCCTCTCAGTCGATCCTGCTGACCGCGACCAGAGATGCAGTTTGTTTCTTCTGTCCCCAGGTTACTCTCCTGCCTTCCTAAGCTGATTTCTTCTCGCCCGTCAGTTTACTCTTCTCAGTGCTAAAACCTTTCCTGGCTGCTCTAGAGTTTGAAATGTTAGTTGTATTGGCTCAGTTTTAAGTATTATCCAATTTTCGATATTTCTGTTTTCAACCATGAATTATTTAGAAGTATATGTAAGTACCTGAACATGTATCTTTTGGATTACCTTTAATCGTACTGACTTTTACTTTAATGCTGTTACAGTTAGAGGTTGTGGTCTGTGGTCAATTATACTAATATGTGGTCAAGCCCTGGCCGGTTTGGCTCAGCGGTTGGAGCGTCGGCCTGCGGTACAGAGAGACCCGGGTTCGGTTCCCACTAAGGGCACGTACCTCAGTTGCAGTTTGTCCCCGGCCCTGATTGGTCGT